CGAATCCATCCGGATGGAATTCGACCACGAAGGGCATGAGGTAGTTGGAGATTGTGTCGCAATACGCAAAGGACTCTTGCCGGCCCTCCAGCACAGCAATCTCAGTCTTTCCTTGACTTGAAATGCCGGCCCAAATCATGACACTTCCTCCACCATTTTAGCGGTACATACATGTTGGCTCCTCCCTACGTTTATCATGCCAATAATACTGGAGTCAATCTGGACCGTCCAGATTGAATTTTTTCTCGTCCGAAAAGACGATTTGGTTCCACCCCAATCCAAGGTCGACGTGGCTCTTTGCCCACTCGAGCCTTGCATGCTTGTGAGTTGCAGTGAGTCGGGGGGCGACCTTGTGTTCCTTGTACTTGAGAAATGAGTTTTTCGACAAAATTCGACGGACAGTTCGTGCCGATACGTTTATGCTGTAGCCGCGCGGAACTTGAATCGCCTTGGGACGCCGAATGGAGAAGTCGTCTGTAGTCACGCACGCCCAATTTGGTGTTTCTTCCACCTCGCAAGGCGATGCCATAGAGTTCAGGATCTTTAAGGAAACTGTGAACAGTTGCCTTAGAGATCCCCAACTCTTTGGCAATCCTGCGAAGGGACCACCCGGCCTTCCGAAACGCCAAGATCGATCCACGGTCTTCGGCAGAGAGTAGCTGGCCTTGAGGCCGCTAAAATGGTCACAGAAGTGTTAGTTATGTGTTATATGAGGTTAGCATTGTTTTACGATGTATACAGAGCTGCCAAAATTGTCGAATGGATGGTGTACCAAACTTGGTTGACCAAATTTTTGACAATCGAATTCCATATTTTACAGGTTTCTCGACTAATATTGGCCACTTTTGAATCAGAAACCATCAATATATTCAGCGCTTTGTTTGGTGCAAGTCGGTCCAATCCTTATTACAATTGAACAAATTCGTCATACTTATGAAGGGTTAATGAGTACCACACTTCAATGATCAGCACTGTGCATTGTTTGCTGTGTTGGTGATTCCCACCGATGTTTTTAATTATGGCACGTTGACGACTGCGGTCGCTTCACGCCGCTACACAAAAGATATCTCAGTCACACCATGATTGGCCACTGCGCAACCCCCGCCCCCCCGATAACTGAGGAGCCGCAGGATCTGCGAAAACATGAACAACCATGACATGGACACAATTTCAGTCTTCATGCCCATTGCCTGACGGGGCCGCTTGCACGTCTCAACCTCCGTCAGCTCTGTGAATTCACGTGCGTCGCCGAATCAGTTGGCACCGAGGTGTTCAAAAACCTAAACAACTGGGCAGGCCGTCCTTGTCAGCACACCGCAAAAAAAGTACACGGATGAGAGAGATACTACCGTGCAACAACTGTTCCGAGTTTGGCCATGGTTGTTGAAGTTTCCCGCGCTCACGTAACTCAAGGCATTCAGATCCGGTAACGGAGAACTCGGTGACGCAAGGTCATGGTCATGATTTTGAAGTAAATCACTCACTGCATAGTTGAAATCTACCACGACGTTGTAGCGTCACTGTACTGAAGGACAAGCTTCAAGCTCGTCATGCATGCGCCAGGAGGAAGAAGAACTGAACATAGAAACAGAATTTATTAACCGTATCAATTCACTTCTCGATGTGCCTCCTTGGTCCTGAGTCTCTTGCTAAACGCTTGCTGCCTGTTACCCTCTTCCCGGCCGTCGACCTACACACAGCCACACGCATCAAGTCAAGAGGTTCTGAGCCCAAAACACAGACAAACACACAAGGAGGAAGAATGGCGAACATCACCGCCACACTGAAGCTCAACGAGCACAACTTCAGCTATTGGAAGACCTATTTCCGCAGAAGACTCATGGCGAAGGGTATGCACGACCAACTTAACTCATCGTTCAGCATGCAACCAAGCATGCTACCAAGCATGACGACCAGAATGCAATGGGGATCCTCATCGAAATGATCGAGCCCAGCCAATACAGCCATATCGAGGGCATGAAGCATGTCTACACAGCCTACGAAGCACTCGTAGCACACCATCAGCAGACAACGAAGATCGATCGCATCCAAGTCGCGATGGAATGGGCCAAACTCACCTGGGATCCGCGCCAAGAGACACTGCTGGACTTCATCTATCGCTTCCAAGTACAGTATTGCCCCGCGATAGTGAAGCTCACTGGCACATAATTTTTTACAGGTATCACAGGAAGACAGTTATTCAAATAAAGGGTGGTTGACTTACACCTGATTGGCTTTGAATTAGCATATGTAATTTTCCAAAAGTCCTCTGATGCAACAATGGATATCAAATTCGAATTCAGGAGGGGGTTGATACCCTGGCAACCTCCAGAAGACAAAACGCACACCAAGGACAACATACACTTGACTTTCCATTAAAGGTTACGCATATTTTCAATCAATTCGCACACTTCTTCATCAACGATACCTGTGTGCCGCCAGCAATTAACATCCTGCGTGGCCCCTTGCCATGCTTCCTTCGCCCACTCCAACGCTGTACCAGACTGACTTCGTGCAGTTTGTTGACAAGGCTACCGAAGTTTTCTTTGTTGGACTCGTCTGCACTGGCGACCAGCTTGTCATACTTCTCCACAAGGTACGTTGCTCGCAGAACTCCAACCTTGCCTTGAATGATCCCCGCATCTTGCGGCTGCAGGAATGCCGTCGTGTTGGTGCCTTTTGTGCATACGGTCTTCGGTGGGGTGGAACAGTAAAAGTACGCGGTCTCGTCGAGATTGTAATTGTCGCGCTTGTCGTAGCCGGATGTGACTGCCAGCAGGCTTCGTCTACCGTCTTCGACGGTACGCTCGCTTGCAGAGGCCGCTTCCCCGTACACTCGGCGTGACTTCAACTTGAAGCGGGTCTTGAATCGATGAAGCCAGCCGTTGGAAAACTTCAGGCGAAGGAGGTAGCTCGGTTCGTCGTGGTCGTCGGTGGCCAGCATCTGGTCTCGGATCTCTGCATGGCCTTGACGCAGATGGTTGGCCCAGTGACAATTGGCACGTTCCAGGCTTCGCATTTTCGAATCCATTCTATTAGTTTGCTCTCTAGCTTCGGCGTGTGGGGTCGTTGCGATGATTTATGTGTTGGTTGTATGCCCTCGACGTCGTTGACCGAGCTGAGCCACGTCGACATTGATGACTTGGGAGGGTC